TCATTATGTTGGACTATGTGTACTTTTTTGCAATATTGTATAAGTAAGAATGTTGGATAAATTGTTGCACTTTTATAAAGTTTTAGAAAAGCAATGTAAATCTTTGAAATGTTGTTCATATCACAGAGTTTGCTTGTGGTTTTTTCCTGTGGATGTCTGTGATCCCTTTTGTTTTGTTTTGTGCCTTTGAAACCCGGCTGATGGGAAATCCCTCTCCTTCTCTCACTAGTCCCGCATCATCCAGTCCATCTACTGGGACAGGCATCCCTTCCCCTCTTCTCTGTGCCCTTTCTGACTACAGGAGATGGGCTTGTGAATTCTCTCACAAGGGCTTTTCCATTTAGAAGGAAGCCAAAGGTTGAGGTCAAGCCAGATCCGATCCAGCCTTCTGTTCCAACCCTAGGATTCAGGCAGACACCCCCCTCCCCGGGCAAAGCTGTCCCTCTCATATTTAGAAGTGTGCTACAACGGAAAGGCTGCAAAGAGGCTTTGTCTGCACCCTGAAACGTATGCCGCTTTCTAGTCTCCTGCACGTTCCACTCTTTTCCTGAACACACACACACACACACCTTGTTGTGAAGTTGCGTCCATTCTGAGTCAGGCACCAGCTGGAACCCAGCGGGCGGGAGGTAGATGGTCTCCGGCACCAGGGTCCCACTGGAGGAGGCAATTGATATTGTCTCAGGGCTGGGGGAGCGTCTGCGTCGGATCGGGGGGCCCGGGCTTGGTACCAGCAGGGACGAAGAGGCGATGGAGACACTGTCGAGGCCAGAGGCAAATTTCTCAGCCACGCCTCCCCCCTCCAAGGTCCCGTGGTCGTCTCCCAGTCCGTCAGGGGGTCCTGAGTCAGCGAGTAGGGATTCCGATGAGCTAAAGAGGCCGCCCTGACAGCAAACAAGCCATGAATTAATAAGGGCCCGTCACAGAAATTCTCAAAATGCCAAAGCAGCCTGGCTGGGGTGAGAGTACAACTGCTTGTTGTTGGCAGGAAAACCTGTTGCCCCAGCCCTGTAATTTCGGGGGCCAAAGAGAAGGTCCAAAATTACACGAACTGGAGAACTTCTAATTGGAAACACTCAACCGGTTTTCACAAATGATTCACCCAACAGGATTTTACCAGAATAGCAGCCGTCGCTTAAGACTTTAATTCGTCCTGCCACTATTCTGGCACCCGTCAGTCAAGTTCATGTCACTGGCTAATTCACACGCTGACGTTCTACTGGCTTAGAGATTTTTTAAAAACCCTACAACATCCCTAGCTTTCCAAAGGCACGTATCGAAATACCAATTTATTTGGGAATGACCAGTCCCCATGAGCGCTTTTGGCAGAGATCCTCCCTTTTCCTGACTGCACTCTCCCCCCACCCAGGCAGCTCTGGCATTTGATATCCTCTTTCCATTTCCTCCCCAGCTCACCTGCTCGCTCTGCAGGTCCCGAACCAGCCCCTCCGCCCTGACCAGCTTCCCCTTCAGCTCTTCGATTTCCTGCTCCATCGGCAGCACAATGGCCCGGAGGCGCTCCGTGTCTTCCTGTGCCTGCAGGGAGAGAGGAAACACACCAGTCAGAGGCCCACCTAGAGGCTCTCTCCCTCCCCGACTGGACTGGAAAGGGGTCCGCGGCTGCTCCCAGGTCACCTTTTCCATCTGTTTCTCCAAGGAGTCCGACGGGCTGCTCCGTGGCAGGAGGCGGCTCCACACATTCTCCCGACTGTCGCGTTCTAGAGCCGAAAGACGCGCCTCGTAACTAGAGATGGTGTCTGTAGAAAAAGAACCCTTGTGTTGACGTGTACACAAAGCCAGCTTGACCCTGGGGTCCTACCCGGCCCAGCCACCCACCCCGGTTCTCAGAGGTAACATTGGAGAGCCTGAACAGAACCTGGGTTTTTAAAGTCAGCGTCCTTCTGAATGCATGTATGGGGGGGGGGGTGTAAGCTGTATCAGAGGGAGGCTTTGGCCAACAGAACCCTGCTTAAGCATCTTCCCGTCGGCCACTTGGAGAGACAGGGTGTTGGACTAGATACCTTTTTGGTCTGATCCAGCAGGGCTCTTCTTTTGTGCTCAAGTATGCCCAGCCCGTTCCTTCCCCCTCCCGCTTGACACCTGGGTCTCTCACCTTTCAGAATAGCCTGCAGTGAGGCCACCTCTTCTTGGCACTGGCGCTGGACAGCTTCCACAGCCTCATGCTTGGTGCTCTCACTCACAGCAGCCACAGCCCGGACGGTTTCCACCTCAGCCACTGCAGCTGCCAACTGGACCCGCAGGTTTTGGATCGTCTCCTCAGGGTCGGGGTCTCTGGGGAGGTCTGGGCCAGGGGGAGCGCCCACCTCCTGCACCTGCTGAGGCTCTTGCAGTGGGGGGGGGAATGGGGGGAGTTATAACTGGGTCTGACTCTGAACCTAGGACCTCGAAGTTCCCCCCTTCCCGCCCATCCTGAACCTCTGATCCTAGAATCCCTCTGACCTTTAACCCCAAAGTGATCCAACAGCTTGAACTGGGACAAACACCCTACCCGTGACCTCTGACCTCCCCCATTATCTGTGACGTCAACCACAGCGCTGCTCTAAGGGGGGCCCCAAGGGCGTGGCTTCCCGTCGTCCCGCCCCCGCTCCCTGCCCATGACGAGCGGGGGGGGGGCTCGCGCGTACCTTCCCATCCCGCGGAGGCTTCTGCCGCTGTTGCCGCTCCGGAGGCCGAGTGGAGTCGGAATCGCCCGAGCGGAACCGGAAATAGCCGAGTAAACACGAGAACAATCGGTCACCAAAAAAAAAAAAGTCCGCAGTGTGGGGTTTGGACGGAAATGTCCGAGTGCCGCTGAAGGGGCAATGCCTTTCCACCAATTCGCTCTTTTCTAAGACGGCTGCCGGACGTCTCGGAAATTTCCGAACGCTTCCGAAAAGAGCCGAGCTGAAGCCGGACGTGGCCGAGGGGTGGGGGACCTGGGGATTTCCGAAGTGGCGTTTGTGTTAGTCTTTAGTAAGCGGCTGGGTGGAGTGAAAGTTTCGGGAGCTCATCCCCCCTGAGAGCTCTAAACGCCTTTGAGTTGGAGGCACCTGAAGGGCCGCCCACATTTGGTCTAAAAAACAATTCCTTTGTACTCAGTGTTATTTGTGAACCGCCTTTCAAACAAGGTTCGCAAAGTGACACCAACCTTTCTTTACGGCAAACCGGTGCAGGGAATAAGGCATCCAGTTCTGGTCACAGGCATTCCCTGAAAACTTTATTTTCAGCCCCGGAACTTGGTCTTCAACCATAAAACTTGGTTTTCAACCATAAAACTTGGTTTTCAACATAAAAAAGACGAATGTGGCCTTTGAGCATGAGCAGAGTGTGCGGCTCTAGAGCTGAGGAGCTACCACAGACCGACACCGCCCCCCTCTTCTCCCCGCCCGGCCATCGACCAGCGACTCACTCCCCAAGGCTTTCGGTCGGCTGGATCCAGCCAGTTTTCCAGCTAGAAAAAGGGGGAAGGTGTCCACCAAAAAAGATAGGGAAAAAGACTGTGCTGGGCAATGCTCCCTCTAAGCTATGGAGTCTTATGAGCAAACATTCTACTCTGTGAGCTACTGGCATTAAAGTTGTGAGCGAGCGATTTGGCTACTGCATAAATTAGTTTGCACTGGAGCCATCCTTCCTGGGCTAAGGCAAAAATGTATGAGCCAGAGGCTAAAAAACTGTGAGCTAGCTCACATTAACTCACCTTAGAGGGAACACTGGTGCTGGGGGGTGCATGGGCCACCACCATGTGGGATGAGGGCTGTAATAAGGAGGCAAATTGGGTGGGGAAACAGGCTGGATCCAGCCCCATGGTAGCACTGCACAAGTCTGCAATGCAGACTATTTAAGACTGCCCTGTCTGTCATTCAGCACTTTTTATTAGTGCCAGGGAGGTGGCTGGTTGGGGAAAGGATTCGGATGGGAGTGTGTCTGATACAAGAACAGAAAGCAGGAAAGAGGTTAAGGGAGGTCAGAGCATTTGGAATCATCTTGATGATTTAGGTTTTAAAAAAATGCTGTCAAGTTTTTCCGGCGGTTACAAGACGAATAAAAACATAACAGTATTGTTACATTAGCTGCAGTGTTGTGTTTTGAATTGTTTTTTGAAATGCTGGATGAGAGTATTTATCAATGGAGAAATCGGATACACATACTGAACCCTAAACACAGGAACAAATTGAGGTCCCTTCCATATAAGCCTTTACCAGAAAACAGAGACTAGTTCTTGCAGGGTCAGTTAAATCTACACACCCAAGCACACATGACAGTGAGTGTTTTCTCCCCCACACACCTTGCCCCAGTCTGATTTCTTCTAAAGTAGCATTCAATACAACTTATGGTTTTAAAATACAATTAGGCCTACATAAGCCCCAGACAAATAAAATGAAATACCAGTTACTCGTACTGTAGCAATAAAGTAGCCACGCAGCATTAGCAATAAAAAGCAGATATTTTAGAAGTCAATAAAAGGAACAGCAGCTGAAGAAAAATCTTCTCAAGAGATCAATTTATTGGAACAGAGTGGTTTTAACATCTCCAGAAGGCCAAGAACAAGGGATCAAGATAGATTAAAAGGGGGAGGCCCATGGCCAAAAAATCTCCAGTCATGGTGGCATAGAGGGCGGGGGCAGAGCAGGGGCTTTCTCCCCCACACACCTTGCCCCAGTCTGATTTCTTCTAAAGTAGCATTCAATACAACTTATGGTTTTAAAATACAATTAGGCCTACAGAGATGAATGTATAAGCCCCAGACAAACAAAATGAAATACCAGTTACTCGTACTAGCAATAAAGTAGCCACGCAGCATTAGCAATAAAAAGCAGATATTTTAGAAGTCAATAAAAAGAACAGCAGCTGAAGAAAAATCTTCTCAAGAGATCAATTTATTGGAACAGAATGGTTTTAACATCTCCAGAAGGCCAAGAACAAGGGATCAAGATAGATTAAAAAGGGGAGGCCCATGGCCAAAAAATCTCCAGCCATGGTGGCATAGAGGGCGGGGGCAGAGCAGGGGCTTGGCGGCTCCTACCTGGTGAAATGAGCTTCCTGAGGAGATCAGGGCCCTGCGGGACCTTGTGCAGTTCCGCAGGGCCTGCAAGACGGAGCTCTTCCGCCAGGCTTATGAATAGGAGCCGCCACGGCCACTTACACCACCGCGCCTTTATAGAGAGAGATCACTGGGGGGGTTGGGTAACATCTTTCCACCACCCCAGCCTTCCCTCCTGCTACGCAAGATGTTAGGAGTCTATTGTGCATCCGTCGAATTGATGTTAATCTGTTTTAAATTTGTATTCTGTATTCTGTAATTTTGTATACTGAACGCACTTGGTGCCCTATGTGAGCCGCCCTGAGCCCATTCGCGGGGAGGGCGGGGTATAAATGTAATAAAATAATAATAAATAAATAAATAAGAAGGTCAAAGGTTCAGTCCGTGGTATCTCCGGTTAAAAGGATCAGGTAGTAGGTGATCTGATAATACTGACCTTGATGGACCAATGGTCTGATTCAGTATAAAAATACTACCTATGTACATATGCTTGGAGTGGTCAACTGGCTTGAGCTGGCCCTACCAAAGCTTGTTTATGGGTGCCCCAGTGTTCAAATCCCAGTTCTGGCTACATTTGTAGCGTGAATCAAACAAGGGACTAAGAACTCTAGATGAGGAACTGAAAACCAACTTTGCCCCCAGTTAGGTAATCTGGGATTTTCTAAGTCCAGCCCAAAACCTCAGCCACTTTTTGAGTGGCTGGTGTCGTTCCATGAGAATTTATGAGTGATGGGATTCTGGTCCATTTGGCTCTGCTGCTTTTACGCTTAGCTTTGGGGATTAGTCAACAATATACACAGAAGCTCCCACACCCAAGCCCCCTTGTAGCCCACTGCTGCATTAACAGAGATTGTGATTTACTGCTGCTGTAAACAGAGGAACATACGAAGATTGTGAGCAGGTGCATTTATTGGCATCACGGGCACATCAGCATTCGGTCAAAAACTAGATCAAGAATAGCATATGAGAGGACTCCCGTATGCCTCCTCCTTCCATCCAGACCGACTTTAAGCTTTCCTTCCCACCAGTCACTTCCTGCTGCAGATCATGTTACCAGCACCCACCGCCTGGCTCAGGACAAGAGATGGGAATCCCGCCCACATTTCCCCTGCCTGATGGCCAGCGAGTCCAGCTTGGCACTGATCGCATCCAGGCCGCTCAACACTCGCTCCAGTTTCTGCAGCACCTGCGGGTCAGTGTGTGCAGCGCAGGTATCGGGTGACTGCGGCGGAATGATTGGCTGTGGCACAGCTGGGCCTAAAAAGGGCACAGAGCAAAAACTTGCATCAGAGCAATCCCGTCCTCAGTCCGCTAAAACCTCCTGGAGCTCAGTGAGCCAAAATCAGAAGTGCCAGAAAGTTGGAACTACTTTCATTGGATGCCCACAGGTGCTCGTGTTAGGGTGTCATCAAAAGGATCGGACAGGTGGACCGCCTTCCTTTTTGAAGAAAGGCTGGAGCACTTGGGGCTTTGCTCTTAACTAAGGGGGATGGGGACATGATAGACGTTTACAAAAAAAGATATATTCAGGAGGTAGCCATGGTGGTCTTCAGTGGAGCAACTAGAGTCTGGTAGCACCCTGGAGACCAACAAGGTTTTCGGGGTCTAAGCTTTCATGGTCTGGTTTGGTTTTTTTTACATTTTTGTGTCTCGCTCTCTGTGCGTGTGTGCGCACCTTTACCTAGAAGTCATGACAACCTCTGGCAACTCCTACTGGGGCATGGAGGATATTCGGAGAAGTAGCTCGATCGCCTGCCTCTGGCCTCCTGGCCCTGGTCTTGCTTGGAGGCCTCCCTTCCAAATACTTGCCAGAGTCAGCCCTGCTTAGTTTCCTAGATCTGACAAGATCGAGCTTGCCTGGGCTATCCAGGTCAGGGTAGGGTCTAAGCTTTCAAGAGTCGAAGTTCCCTTCATCAGTTTCTAACGAAGGGAGCTTTGACTCTGGAAAGTGTATACTCGACAAATCTTGTTGGTCTCTAAAGGGCTATTGGACTCAAATCTAGCTGTAAAAGGATGGATGCAGGGGAGAAAGATGGACATGGTGGACAGAGAGAACTTTTTTCTCCCGTTCTCATAATCTGAACACAGGGTCACTAGATGAAATGGACAGGTGGTAGATTCAGGAGAGACAAAAATGAATTACTGTTTGACATTTCTACCCTGCTTCTCTCCCCAGTAGGGTCCCAAAAGCAGTTTACAATGTTATTTTCCCCTCCTTCAATTTATTCTCACACCAGCCTGTAAGGATTCAAAACTGGGTCTCCCAAGTCTCATATTCCACCCACTATATCACACTAGTTGTCTCTCAAAAGGAAGTACACAAGTACAATCAATGTACATAAATCACTGCCACTCGATGAGATGAATGCTACATGGTGAATGCTCCAAGCAGGGCACCAAACACCTGCCTCTTAATTACAGGAAATCCTGTTCAGTTCACCACCCCTGGGCTTCTGCTGTTTCACCAGGCGGGGATAGATCACAATACTCCACTGGCTATTGTTGCTGCTGAAAACTTCTATTGGGGAGGGGGGGGGAGGACCTATAAAAAGGCATTAAAAAGCTGCCCATTTCTGACAGAGAATTTCCCACTGTCCCCCTCTTCCCAGTCTCCTCCCCCAAAGTCACCGTACCACGTCTGGAACAAATCTTCTCTCGCAGCTGGTGGGGGGTG